TCGTTTTATCCCTATTTACTTTAATCCTTCTAACATTTCTTGTGTAAATTAAGGATAGAACTTTAAATACGTTGATCTATTTTCATTAATATAGTTACACCAGAGAGAAATTTAGCCTATGAAGGAAGAAAAAAAACTTTGTAAAGTCATCTCAGGAACTGGCTTTGTGCAGTGGGAATTGGGCTGTGTGACTGACATAACTTGAACCACAAACATTGGGGAGAAGTTAGAGCAACTGAAACCAAATAAAGTTAGTTGGTTTTCATGTGAAAGCTCATATATCAGGTCAGGATTAGACAAAGTAAACAAGATTTCTCCAGCTTCACTCGCACAAGAATAGCATTACTAACATCTTGGACCCAGCTAAAAGTAATGACTTTTTTGGTTAATAGTACACACACGTTTGGAGAATTTTTCATGTTGTTGTTTTGGGGGAAATTTTCTTTCCAGTCAATATTTGTCCTGCAGTGGATCCCAAAGCCAAGACGGGGACAACATACTCCCTAAAACTGGCCTCTACAAGAAAGGCAAATTGAAGTATATGCTGCAAGATTTCAGATGAATCTCTCCACAGTTTCCATCATCTGGCACCAGTTTTTAGGTCACTAATAGTAAATTGCTTTACCATTTACTAGGAGTAAAATCACTTCACTTAAGCAACTATTGCTTTTTTCCCCCTTATCTTCTACAGTAAGGTATTTGTAGCAAAGATTTTATACTGTTTCAGAGTTTAGTGAGGATCGTTAGTAAATAAGAAACAAATTAAACACAGTAAATAACAGACCTGCTTCTTGCAAATTCAGACACAAGGAAACTTTATAGTGAAGTAAGAGCCCGAAATTAATTCTAAAAAGGATAGTTTGCAAACTGCATTTCTAATTAGTGACATTAATAATTTTCAGAAAGTTCCACTTCACTTACTGAAGATGAAATTATAGCTCTCGTGTATTGGTTAATAAAATGAATTAATTTCTGTGTATAATTTAGCTCCCTATTTAGTAGGCTTTGACACTTCACTGTTATAATTCTCCGCATATGTTGTTAACAGTCTGTAAATATTATCTTCCATGAACTGTTTAAATTTGGTTCTAACTGGTCTTTGTTTTTCATTATAATTGTAGGGTAGTGTTCAGTTTACTTGTATTCTGTTTACCAATTTAGATGACTGTAAAACTGGGGTTACCACAGAGAAACATGAAATACTGGCGCATCAGTTTAGCTCACTGCAATTGTTGAGGGATTCTAGTTGGGGGTAGCAGTAACCAGTGGACAAAGCTCTGGGTTGGGTTGGTTAGGTAACAGGTTTTTTTCCAGCTCAGGGAAGAGAGAAACAGAATGAAAGACACTTGCTCTGCCACTACTAACACTGCACATTTGACTAAATTGGTTTAATGCTTGCCATTTTTCACAGGTAGGGAGGAATAGGAAAATCTCTTTCTAGAGGTCTTTGAGGAGACCAGTAAATGGAAAGTACTTGAAAAATGGGTGCTGGGCAGTCAGGAAGTGTACAGTCCTTGTTGGTTCACTGTGTGACCACAGTAACAGCTACACCTAATAACATAACTAGAAAATATGCATGCTAGCTGTTGGATAATAATACTCTTAGCAGCAATGGTCTTAATTTCTTCCCTTGCTTTTATTAATGTCAGGGATTTCAAACATATATACTAACCCAAGAGAACTAAAATAGTATGAAAATTAAAAATGTACTGGTTACTGCTTTGATATCCAAAAGAAGTGAATTAAAACTAGTAAAAGTAGAGTAAGAACAAACTATTCCTCTAGGGTGTCCAGTATAATTCTCAACATAACAGGTCCATTCTGTTACTAAGAACCAACATTGTGACAAAATGTGCCTATTGCTTAGAGTTTTTAACTGATTTATACATCCATAAATTTGAGTGCTTGACAGTTTTTTGTTTGTTTGTTTGTTTGTTTTTTTAAAAGTGAGAACAAAATAACTTGATGCACCTGCTGATCAGCTCATATGTATCAACAGTATAAATATATCTCCTAGGATTCCCCAAAGTCAAACACCACTATTGCACTATTATATATATGTATACTAACACAGGAGACTTAAAGTATAACTGACTGACACATCTGATAAATTTTAGTAAAAAAATTTAGTAACTTTGACCCCTTCCAACGCGCACTGCAAGAAAGAAAAACAGTACCTGTTTACATTGTTTTCTACATTTTTATCATTTTCTTCAGTAGTCTATTCAAATGCTTCACTTTCTTATCTAGCTAACCTGCCTCTCACTGGATATGCATGACTTAGAATGGTGGTTTTCAACCTTTATTCATTTGCCGACCCCTAAAAAAGTGTTGAGTGGAGGAGCAGACCTCTTTGAATTGTAAGTGTGGGTATTCACATATTGATCATAGTCATCTTTTGTGGACACTTTAGACAGTCTGTGGACCCACAGGGGTCTGTAGACCACAGGTTGAAAACCAGTGAGCTAAAACATTTATTTCTACTTGCTTTCTCATTTTCAATGATCAAGTGATACAGCATGCTCTTTTGCTGGTTTTTTTCCCCATCCTTGCAAATCCTACATTTGGGTGATGAATGGTGGGCACGAATACTGTTAATAAATAGTTTTAGATATTACATTTGAAAAGTATACTGGTGTGGAGACTTTAATGGTTGCCAAGTAAATGAATAGATGAAAATTGGATGACTTATTTATTTTTTGTGTATTTAACCTGTCAGTTCATGTGAACATTTGTGTTCATTCACATTCTTGCTGTCTAATTTTTAATTTCCAGGGGTCGTCATGTGTCAGGAATCATTTAACATTACTTGTGCACATGAAATGTAACCCTGTGGTGGTTTTGGTTGACTTTCAAAATACAAAATGTAACACAGTAACAGTTTTATGAGGGATCTGACATCAGTTCTAGTAGACAGAAAAACGCCTATGTTTAATATTGAACTGTCAATTTTATTAACCTGTGTTTTGAAATGCTAGGAAAACTGTCAAAATTCAACCTTGTCAGAGCATTTTTCCCCAAGTGATGTGCATTTAAAAATAACACTGGCACTAATTTTGCATGTTACATTTCCATAGTAAGAAGTAGAGTATATAATGTGATAAATATACCCCAACTGTGGGGCTGATAAATTATATTTTTTGTGTTATATGCTTTAGAAGGTAAAGAAAGACTTAAGTTAGTAAAGTCTCTTCCAAGTTTCCTTTTTCAAGATTTGGTCCATAAAAAGTGTATTTTGTTGTTTAAAAAGAAAATAAGAGTGGTATCTGTTCTATCTTAGCTAGGTACATGATGGTTTATTTTTAGTAGTTTTCACTTTGATTTCTCTTTGTGTGAAAGTCCTCATTTTCTTGCCTGCTTTTTATGCTGCATGCTGTCAGAGAAGCAACAGGACCCTCCTAGAAATGAATTTTACAGCACTTATTTATTTTTTATTTTAAAATTACTTCTCGTACCTCACAAATGAGTTTTGATATTTCTACTAATCTTCTCCTCCAAAGTCCCGTAGAGGAGGTATAAATACAAAGCAATTTTGGCATTGTTTTGCAAATGTGATAAGTAAATCTATAAGAATTTTAATTTAAGAGCTCTTACCAAACCTGTTTTCCATAGCAGAGGGTGATGTCATGGTCCTGGGGTTAAATGATTTATTAGAATGGCCAGAAATTTTATCCTATAAAAAGTCTGTAAAAATATGTGCGTGCATGCATACATGCTCTCATCTGCTGAATTTTAATAATAAAGCTGAATTGCTTCATCCTTGCACTTAGTGCTTGAGTTTCTTTGCTAGAGCATTGTAAATAATAGTAGATATATTAACATATAAGGTCAATCGTTATTTATTACTGTCAGATAGTTTACAGTTTCTCTTATTTTTCTATAAGAAAGTTTTATTCATGGGGGTATTGAAATATACTTTGAAAGTTTCCTGATAAAGAGACATTGTAGATATAGCTTGTAATGATAAACATACTTATTCTTTTTTTCTTGTGTTTATGATGCATTTTTTTCTTGGTAGATTTGAATAATTCTCAGGGGAAGAAACTTGCTTTCTCTCCCATCATTCTTTCTATGGTGTCACCTTCCCTCGGTATTGCAGGACAATACAATTCTATAAAAGTAGCTGCTATTCTGGAAGATCTCAGTACTTCACAAACCATAGTCATATAGCAGGGGTTGTCAACTGGGGGTACATGTACCCCCGGGAGTATTTGGAAGGTATTGGGGTTATGTGCAGGCAGGCAGGGACAGAGTGCTGCCACCCACCATCCTACGCTGCTGCCACCCAGGAGCAGGGCCGGGGACACAAGGACAGCGGCTCCCCAGTGCGGGCTACACCGGCACCGCCTGGCCAGCTGGACATTGTTTGGGGGAGGTGGAGCTCTCATGCAGCAGCTGCCATCCACCATTCCACGCCGCTGAGTGCTGGCCCTCCCACCTTGCTGCTGCCACCACCACAAGGGGTACACTCCTTAAAAAGGTTGAAAACCCCTGTCATGTAGCATCATTAAAATGCAAACAACTTGCAACTGGAAAGTAATAGCCAGATAAGCATCTGGCCCTGGGAACGTCAAGGGAAGTCCTCATGAAGATTTAATATAATCTTTAATATCTATATATAAAGGAGACAGCAGTTTTTAAAGGTTTCTGTGGAATCCTTGTACGTTATTGACACTATTGATCTACCTTGCATGGAAAAAAAAGCTAGAAATAACCTCTGTTGTTAGGTGAATTTCTTTTTCAGGGAGTCTGATTATTTTACCCTTGATATTTATATTATGACTCGAATATTTTCTTCTTAACTGAGAAGTTCAGTAAATTCCTTATGGTTCCTTTGGACAGGATCCATAGAACTTTACAATACTATTTCAAAGTTTCAAGCAGTTTTAGCATTAATGAAAATTAATTCCGAAGAACTTTTAGATACTTTCTCATTTGTCCGTCCAAATATTGGCTTCACGTTGCATTGCTCCTAGCAGTCTTATGTTTTGTTTTCCAGAAATGCGTGATAAAATGAGGAAATGGAGGGAAGAAAATTATCGTAACAGTGAGCAGATAGTAGAAGTTGGAGAAGAGTTAATTAATGAATATGCATCCAAGCTCGGGGATGACAGTAAGTCAAAATTGTTTTAAAAACGTTCACTGACTGTAGCTTTTTATTGTATGCATCTGGTTTTGTTTATTATCCTGCTGTTCTCCTGTTACAGCCTCCATATTATTTTATTCTTGCATTACCTTTCTGTATGTACTGTTGTCAGTTACATATATTATTTTCTCAATGTAATAGTCTGCTAGAATTCCCAGCCCTTGGTTTGCTTCCCAAATACGGGGTGTGGAGGAAGTAGGTGGAAAAAATTATACCTAATTGAACACTTAGATTGGCACACAAGTCATAAGAATACTTTATGAGCATTTGGCAAAGGTTTTTTTATCTAGCTGTCACTCATTGAGCTGTCTGCTCTTCAGAGAGATGGCAAAGAATGCAAGACTATTTTTTTTATAAGGAGAGGAAAAGTTATTCATTAAGTCATAAGTGATACCATGTTGTAGAAATTAATAAAAAGGCTGTTTTTATTATAGAATTGCAGTTGTGATGCTATAGTTCAGGATGTGCCTGGGTTTCCGTTGTACATAAAATGACTTTTCAGGGGATTTTATCTAAATAATGCTAATTCTCACTGGACAGAAACTTGGCATGCAGTGTTTTAGACCAGAAGGGAATTATTTAGAAATATGTCACAATAATACAATATCACTTTTTTATATAAGCTCAATATAAAACATAAAGGAAGAGGGTTCTTCAGGTTTTCATATGAATCTCATACAGGCAGGAAGGGATACATGGATTTGTTTTTAATGTTCATTCCTCTTTCTGCATCTTTCCTTTCTATAACTTGGTTAGCCTAATACATTTTCCTTTTAATTCTTTAATTATTGTCACCCACTCTTCTATGGCTGCTGCTGGGTTTTGCAAATATAGTGATGAAATATACAGTAAAAGTTCTGTTATCTGGCATCTTACAAGCCGGCATGCTCCACTAACTGGCAAGCCAGCTTGTAAGATAAAGTGAAACCGGAAGTGCCCACCGTGGCACTTCCGGTTTCTCTGAGCTCCCATGGCTCAGGGCAAAGCAGCCTGTGCTGCCGAGCCTCCACGGCCCCGGGGGCATAACAGGCTGTGCGGGGCTGTGTAGGACCCGCCTCCCTGCCCCATGCGGAGGGGCGGTGATGCTGCGGGAAGGGCGGAGGGACACCCCAGATGTGGTGTGAGAAGCGGTGGTCGGGGACACTCAGTTAACCGGTATATTTTGTTATCCCGCGTCCCCCGTTCCTGGGAGATCCTGGATAACAGAGATTTTACTGTATTTGCTAGCTGAAGTCACAAGGATTCTCAGCATGTCCATCTCTGTTCACTTTTAAGAATATAGAGTTTTTCAAGCACCCAGAAACAAAAATCTGAAGAGATACATTCCTAAAAAGGTCTTGCATTTGTTTTCTTACAGACCGGAAATCTTTTAATGTGGCATGCTCCCAGAAACTGTAGAGCCATTTTCCTTACTATGGCATTCTCTCTAGTTTTATCTTGCAACTTTGCACCTACAATTTTTGTTTGACTTTCTTTCAGTGAGAGGGACTTATAGTGCTCTCCAAAATAAATAGTATATCTGTAGGAGATTAGTTGCATGGATAAGCTAAACATGGCTTTGTATTAAAGCCAGATCCTTGTGTAAAATATAGTAGTTGTGAGAGTAAAAGTGTGGGTATAAAAGCTACAGGGGTGTAGGTTGTAGCCATGTTGGTCTAAGGACACAGGCAGACAAGGTTCCTTGGGTGAATTTGATATCTTTTATTAGTCCAACCCAAATAGTTGGAGAATAGTTGTTAGCAAGCTTTCGAGTTCAAAAACCCTTCGTCAGGCTAAGGAAGTTTCAGCAGTTGGTGCGTGCTCTTCCTGGATGGAAATTAGTTATAAAAATGAAAAATGAAAAATTAGGTATAAAAGCTATATACCTAAAGAAGAACCCTGTACAAATGGTATCCCTGCTGTGCTCTTGTAAATGTTCCCCTGCGGGCTGGATAGCATGGCCCTGTAGACTAACTCAGATTGGCACACAGGGTCAGGCTGCACAAGGTTGAGCTGGCACATGGGATCATAAGAATATAAAAACTGCCATTTACTGGGTCATACCATAGGTCCATCTTGCCCAGTATTCTGTGTCACGCAGTGGCAGAGCGTGGATGCTGAAAGGGAGAGTGAACAGGGCATGACTAGGGTGTTTTCCACTGTTCCTCTCCTACTTGCAGCCTCTAGGATTTAAAGGTCTAGGGCAGACCCCATGCCCCAAGCCTGTGTGGGATCTGGCCTGCAGATTGACCTGGTACCACTCTTCTAACCTGCAGGGCTGGATTGTTGAGCATCACTAGTCTAGATCTTTGTTGTATAGGATTAAAAATGCAAAAAGTAGAAGAAATCTAAATCTTTGGTTTTGAAGATCTGGAAAGTCACTAACAGAAATTAGGAAGAAATGTACTCTGATAAAAACAAAAAAAACCTACCTGTACAGGTATTCTTGTGATACACATCTAATACTAGTCACTGCCTGAAACAGGATGCCAGGCTAAGTGGACCAATGGTGACAATTCTTGTTCCAAAATAATATTGTATTCTTTTTGGTAACAGGATTATTAAATGGAATATTTTGAGCATTATTTTGTCTTTATTCCCATGGCTGGGAAGCACAAAAATTTTTTTCCTCCTAAGATTTGTTATTTTTATAATAATACTTCATACAAAAATAGTTAACTTTGCAGTATTGCTTTCTTAAAATTTTATGGAAAGCCTTGGTTACTTGTCTTCCTTCTGTTGGAAAGATCCTGCAGCATGCTAAGTGTTCTTAACTCCCATTTTCTTAAGTTGAAGGACACCTGATACCTCACAAGGTGCTTTCTGTTAATTTTATTCTTTTTTTCCCCTTTTCAGTTAATGTACTGAGGTGTCTCTTACTTTGTACAGCGCCTTGCACAACTTAGGCTTGTTATAAGTCACATGCTTGGCATTGCTTTAATCAAATTATGTATTTGTTTGTGATTTTAAGTAATTCTTTTGCCTGATGGAAGAAGGTGTTATTGATGGGGATTTAGGGCATTGAAACAGTTAAAGGAAAAGTTATTTTTCTTTTGGGTAAGAGTGGCTACTCTCCAGATCTGGACATAGCGCATTTCATAATGTGTTCTGTTTAGAAAACTTTAGATATAATGTTAGGAAAAGCAAAGAATTAGAGCTTTTCACCTTTTAAGATGTCAAAAGGTACTTTATATTACTGAAGGCAATAAAACTGCTTAAATGTACTTTTAATTAATTCCAGCAGTGTGTTTAAAATGTCCTTGTTTCAGTAATGATCTGCAGGAGTGGTAGGGAAAAATACACAGAGACAGAATTCATTAATCTTATTTACATTTTAGGTGTTTCCCATCATTCTGAAAATCAATTATCCACATTTAATGTCTCTTTTGTGTCTAGTTTGGATAATATATGAACAGGTGATGATTGCTGCCCTGGACTGCAGTCGAGATGACTTGGCATTGGTAAGTATTCATGTTGAACTTTCAGTCGAACCTTAAATTTTCTTCTTGGGGATCTGTTCCAGATAGCCCTTTAGACAACTATAAGATATTAGAACTTGGACTTGCAGAATCTCAAGAAATATGCTGGGAAGCAACTGCCTCCACCCACCCTACTGTGTAACTTTTGTTTAGACAAAGCATGTCTTTTTCAATAACTAGGAAAATATTTATAGCGACTCTAATGTGGGCTGAATGTCAGGAATAATATTATTGCTGCCATATTGTACAGAGAATACTTGTTTATTGAAAAACCTTTCAAATTGTATCAGTTTTTAAAACACTTTGAGGTAATGTATCAGTGCTGTGCATATGAATTTAGCTGCCTGATTGCTATTAACATTGACAGGAGCAATACAGCTAAATGTATGCACAACAAATTGAGAAGGCCAATTCAGGCTTGCAGTATTCTTAAAATTTAGTGGTAATGGAAAAAAAAGTGGTTGTGTTCTATTTTGCTCTTTTATGATGTATGAAAATGGCATTATAAACCTAAACTTTTTTGTTCTTCGACTATACACCTTTGGTTTTTATTCTTGCATTACCTCTGCTGGTTTCTCCTAGAGAGGAAGAGCTGCCACTGCAGCTACAGTTGGAGTTATAACCATCAGTGGTCACCTCTTCCAAATCTTGCCATCTCTTTGTTTGGATGGAGAGAGTATTTTGCTGTAAACTATTTATGGGTATTCAGTTTTGAACTGCAGTATGTAATCTGATTTTATTTAGATGTATACAAATTGTAATGTAAAGAAGAAAGGATTAAGTGATTCTAATCACTTTTGCTATTGATTCAAAATGCAAATGTTAGTATAAACAAAAACACTCAGCATCGGGGGGGGGGGGGGGGGAATAAAAACTTGGGGGGTGGGGAACGTAAACTATCTCTGCGCGCTGATTTTGCTTCCAATGCAACCTCCTCCAGAAAAGCATGGGAATCTTCTTCTTACTTCTTCAGCAATCCCTTGCAGTTGAGGATGATTGTCTTATCTGTGTCCAAAGATGGCTGATGATGAGGCTTATTCGGGATCACCAGACCACTGCATTTGGGACATTTTTCCATGTGGGGTGGATGGCGCTTGATTCTTGATTTGGTATTTTTGACTGCAGTAAAGGTGATCCCAATGGACATTTTATCCAGTCAGGAAGAAATACAGAATACCGTATTAGGCAGGCTGTGTTTAGGGCACCTTTTTCTGTGGAGTGAGCACAGCTGAAGAAGGGTGCTCAGTCACAGTTACAGCTGTTGAATCGCGCTCCCGTCTTGTCCAAGTGCTTGACCTTCTTGTAACTTCCGCCTTTGTGCCAGTTCCTGACTAGGAGCTTTCAGACCTCACCGTCTTGCTCTCATTGCCATTAGCTGATCACCAAAGGGCTTGAGGAATGTGCTGGAAAAGCTGTTTTAATGGGAGACATCTGTGTGTGACTTCTTTTATTGTGGAGAAGCTTCCCGTACATTGGCTTCCACACAGGTCTTGACAGAACGGGACTTTGATCCAATGACAAGGAGACTAAGATAACTGGGGATCTCGTTCCGCTGCAGCCTTCATCTGCCTTTGCAGCCATTGAGATTCTAACATCATCTTCCACCTGGTTCTCCATTGAGGACTTTTAGACGCATGGCTGGGAGCAGGGCAGCCTTTTCAGAAGGGAGACCATTGCCCTCTGCTGTCCTCACCACATCCTGGTGGTGGTGCTGCTGCTGCTTGGTCAGTGACTGCTTATTCATCAGTTACCCCTGCTTATTTCACAGCTAATGTTTCCTGAAGGTCATTCCACTATCCACCACCTGTGGACGCACTGGGTAGCAGTACAGCTCTGCCCCACAGAACTTGGAAATGGAACTAGTCTCTACAGTGTACTGGAAAGGCTTCAGCTACTTTAAACCAAGAAAGGAGATCGTCCTATAGTTCATGCATCTTCCAGCACCGCCTTCTCTCAAATTGCAGGGTGTCAGATGGTAGTTGGGCTTGGTGGAGTGTGTAAATGGATGAAACTCAACAACCTGTATAGAAGAGTTCAGACTAGATTATCTGGTGATCTCTTCTGGTCTTGATTTCTTCATTTTTTTAAACTTGAGTTATTAATCATTCAACTTGTGACATGTAAAAGAATATCTAGTCCCCTAATATATACATAAAGACAGATATCTATCTTCCATCAACAGTCTTCCCTTAACCCAAGTCAGTGTAGATAGACGTCTTTGTTTTTTTCTTCACTTTTTTTCAGTCTCTGATCCTTTGTGTTTTGGTCAATGTTAAGCTTTCGTGTTTCTTCATCTCTAATTCACCCTTCTTGTTCCTTAGAGCTCTGCTCCCTATCTTTCAATTTACTCCAAATTTGTTCTTAATGGTTAACTTAGAGTTGCACTTTTTAAATATTTAAAGAAGTTTCTCAAACTTTCTGGTTTGGAAACAGGGGAAGATTCTTTTTAGAAATTTTCAAGAATTTCCACCAAGTTTCTAAATAAGCATTTTTTTCTTTCTCCCCTGGTTAAGACTGACTTTGTAGGACAAGTTTTCGATTATTAAAACTTTCAAAATTTATTTTAAACCAGTCACTGATTTTTAGGGTGTCATTTATTTTCTAACCTTTTGCAATTGTAATACTTGCAGCCACTTGAAGATAAGTGATGAATATATTATGTTACAGAGGTCTCAGGAAGGTGCAGTAAGGGGTTATCTGTTAGCTGGCATTCTGTTAATTCAGTCTTGTCTCCCACCTTTTTCCAAAATAGTTTGATTCCTCAGACATGTCCACCATATGTGGTAGACTCCCCCACCTGGCCACACTCCCTACAACATTTGCCTGTTCCTGTACTATAAATGCATTTAATTTTAAGTGGGGTGAGATACCACCAATACAGGAGGAGTTTAAAATAAGTTTTTTTTTATTGTTGTACATATGGATATTTGAGGACCATTATCCAGACAGTCTCCCATTCTTCAGTGCTAATGTCAGTAACCCATTTTGTTATAAGCAGTGCATTTTCTTCTGTATGGTTACTTAGAAATTGCTTTAGGTATTGATTCCTATGAAATTATAAGAAATTGGACCGAGGTAGTCTTTTACATAAATAGGGATAGTTTAATAATCTTGAATTCCAAACACCTGGGGTAAACCTGAGTACATGTTATGATATTATATACCATATTGGACTTTTTGTGAGCTAAGTGTACTTCTCATTCTTGGATACCTCTCCTGTTCCGTGAAATAAGTTATTGTCTTGTAATTAAATATGTTATTGTCCATGAAATAAGTTATTGTCACGAAAACAAGTAAATAAGCTGAGAGAGAAGCCTCTAATTTTTCTAGTGTATTTTCGGTCTCTGGGGTTTTATAAGAACTTTTTGTGAAGTTCTTACATAGACCAACATGGATAAAAAATTCAAGTTGCCACATACTAATAATCTGAGCAATGGTGTTGAATTGAATTTATGGCCTCTTACATTGTGTTGTGTTTCTTATAGGATGTTAAGTAAGTAGAATTGCTTATATGCTGTGCTGAGCTTAGTGCAAAACTTAAATCTGGTTTTATTTTTAGTTAACATCACGTGTTTTTTTTCACTGTAGCTGCTGCTTTAAGCGTGTGAACACCTTTGGAATCTCTTCTTCTTAGTACTGAACACTCGACAGCTGAGATGCATCTTTCTTAAGGAAAGGAGTTTTTTCAGCTCCAAATAGAGGAATCTGAGAGTTTTTTCCATCTACCCATTCATCTCGCTCACTGCTTTTTATCCTTTTTATTACTGTCATCTCTATCCCCCTTGCACAAAATAGCAATGCCAATATTTCACTTAGCGGGCTCCATCTTTTTTACACACATTTGTACTGAGATTACCTGCTGTTGGTAGACACTTATAATAACTATGTCTAAGATGGTGGAGTTCAAGTTTGCCTTTTTTGCCTTTTGTAGAATTAAATTACATCTATAAGAAAAGAAAAAACTCCTGCTTATGCATTCTTTATTTCTTCACTGGTTTTTTTTTATGATAGGTATAAGTGAAGGTCCAAAACTATAATATAAAATGTTTGAGGAAACCTACTAACACAATCACCAAACAGTATTTGTACAAATATGGTACGCTATGTGAATATACACTTTTAAAATTATATATCACTTAATAAAATGTATTATAATGGACATTAGTGGCCAGATTTTGCAAAAAATCAATGTAGAGGAGGGAGTGAAAGAATCTGGAGCAGTTAAAAATGTGGCTGGTTTAGTTTTTCCATCATTCCATCACTGCAGTTCTTTATTTGTAATACTTTAATTCTGATGTTGTCTTTATGGTTTGGATCCCTTATGACCATCTGTCTCTCGGTGTGCATGAGCACTTAATAATATCCAGTGACTTGACCTAATGGAGTCTGTCTTATTCTTGTGAATGCTATACCCTTAAGTCCTGATTCTGTAGTTTTATCTGCATATGTGATTCCTGTGGCAGCACAGTGTCACTGATTGCTTTCAATCTCCTTTTTTGTGTCCCTTGTGGATTTATGTGTAGTGTGGGTGCCCACCCACTTGGATCCGATTGCAGTTTAAAAATAGAGATTTTTCTTTTGATGATAAAAGTTAATGCTTTTCCATAGTTTTTACATAAGATTACTCAGATTTTAAAGATGTTCATATGATATATGCTTTGTGTGAATGTTTAATGTGCTGTGATGTACAGGAGGCTTTGTATGACAGATTTTAGTTGCAAGCAGCAAACACCCACTCTGAGCGCCACTAAGCCATTCTTTTATTAAGTCAGGAGTTATTCATTAGATGAATTACATCCTTGCAGACTGGTCTTATTGGATACTTAACAGGATCTTGAAAACATTCTGTGATTATTGTGGCCCCCTGTGACTACATTCAGGGCTATCTCCTTTTGGCCTTTCCCAATTCTTTGTACTCCAAGCAGCTAGGAGGGGTGGGAATGTTTCTCCTTCCTCTTCTCTCTCACTCAACTCTTCCTTTTGCATCCCACTCTGTCTAGAAAGATAAGGAGGAAAACTTGTGCTTTGAAGTTTGAAAATAATTTCCATGTTTTGCTACTGAATTTTGCATAGGACAAGGTAGAAGAATTGCTTATATTTATAGAAGTCTACCAGAGCTCTGTGTCTTAAGGTGTTTAAGGATGAAATATTTGTAAGTGGTATGAAAAGGTGTTCCAGTGGAAACCTCAGGATTTATTTGCTTCATTGTGCTTGGAGAGCTCAGGGTCTGGGATAGAAAGCCTGCCAGGAGCACAGGGACAAGCAGGTTACAATTCCTGTGCTACCTAGAAAGTAGGTGGGCTCTGCCAGGCACCTATTCTCTAGTGTAATTCTGGGAGAGCTGCTGCCTTTCCCTTCCTTGCCACTTTCTTTTGATCCAAAAGTCACATTCCAGGAAGTTGACTTAGTCAGTCAAGGACTGAAGTTGGTTCCCCCTTCCCTGCCTTTGTTTCCTATATTGATGATAAGCCAGTTTCTCTGTGAATATAGTTAAATAAATGGCTTACATTCTTATAAAAGTACACCACACTTTTAGTAGTATATGATTTGTATTTTTTTTTGCAGATGGCTGAATATTAGGCCGGTGCGAAGCATAAGTTATTCACTTTGGTTTCGGATTTGGAGGGACAGTGACTCAATTTGGTGATTCAGATCACTGTTCTGATTCGATTTGACCAAATCTGAAGGTATACAGTGCCAAATATTATTCGGCCATAAACTATACAGGCAGGAACAGCTGGGGGAGCAGCTGCTGGATGAGCCCTGGGAGAAGCCATGGCTCATCTGGCTCCTCCCATGACCCAAGGCGAGGCAGGCAGTGCTGGCAGTCCTGAGAGAAGCTATGGGAGCTAGGGGGAATGATTGGGAGCTGGGGGATTGAGCTTCAGGGGAAGTCCTTGTTCATTCCCCCGGCCCCTGTGACTTCTCCAGGGGCTGCCAGCACTGCCTACCTCGCCCCAGTGGCGGGGGGGGGACCGGGGGGGGGGGCGGGGGGGGCCAGGGCTTGTCCAGGTGCTCCCCCAGCTGCTCCTGCTAGCACTGCCTAGTACCTGTCTGTACAGTCTATGGCTGAATCTCTGAATTTTGCTGAATTGATTCAGAGGCTTCCAATTCAATTCAGGGAGATTAATTGGGTCTCCCAATTGAATTCAGAGCTTCAGCTGCCAAATTGGGCCAAATCACCTCTGAATCAAACTGGCTACCAAAGCTTCGCACCACCCTACTGAGTGTTGGACTTAGGGCCCATGTCCAGAACTCATTGTTTTTTATGATGTGATTGGTTTGGAAATAGTAGACTGTACATATAGCAGGTATTGATATGCATTAATCTCTGGTTGTGATAGGAAGTATTAGTGACACAAAAGACTTCTAATTTTGTTTTTTCTTTTTTCATCATTTTGTCACTCAGAATTGCATTACAGATTGGAAGAATCTTTCTCTTTTTTTTTTTTTTTTTTTTTTGTAGTTCTGCCTTCAAGAGCTAAGACGGCAGTTCCCTGGGAGCCATAGAGTTAAGCGACTAACTGGCATGAGATTTGAAGCCATGGAAAGGTAATGACTGAACTTAAAATTATTTTTTTTCCTGGAAAAGGTACTAAGTATCTCTTAGGGTGGAAACAGATGTTGCCTTTGTGTTGCCATAAGAATTTTTATGGTGGCACAGAGGCCAAACAAAATGACATCTATACCCATTACTAGGGGTGCACCAATAAAGATTTTTTTAGGCCAATACTGATCGCCAAGTATTAATGAGCCGTATTGACTGATACCAATCTGATTGCTAATATGCAGCCCACCATCTGGATAGTAAGTCAGGAGGGGGAGGCAGGCAGATTAAGGCCCTTATGGTGAGGGAGGGAGTGGGGCAGGGCTGGATCAGGTACTGCCTAGCTGGGGCATGGTGCAGGATGGAGCCATAAGTGGGTTATATGTAGGGGGCATTGTGGGGGGTGGGGTCTGTGCACACCCCAGAGGGAGGCATGGGGGGTGTAGCCCCGGATCTGTGCTTGGGGTGAGGCCAGACTGCTGCTATGGGCTGGGGCAGGGGACAGCACCTGGCTCTTCCAGGTGGGGGTTGGGCTGGGGCTGCACTCAGGGCGGGTAGCAGCAGTGCTGGAAGAGGGGCTATGGAGGAGATTACAGCCACCCCAGACTTTGCTGTAGCCCCCCTGTAACTCCTCTCCCAGCACCACCACCTGCCCTGAGTGCAACCTCGGCCCAGCCCACCTTTGCCCCGCACACAGATCTGGGGAGCACATGCCTCCTGTGCCTCCCTCAGGGCTGCATGCAACAGCAGGAACCGCCCCTCTCCCCATCTGTACCCTTCTGGACAAGCTGCGGCTCAGTCCCGCGGCCCACGCCCTGCCCTTCCCTGCCCTGGGTGGGCAGTACCTGCACCAGCCCCGTTCCCTCTCTCAACGTGGGGGCCTCAGTCTGTACCCCCCACACCCTTTCCCTCTCCTCCACCCCTTCCCCCCAACAGACTTACCAGTTGGACCTGTTGGGCTGGCAGCGTGCATGCTGCAGCTATGCACATGCATGCAGCATTTATCGGTAACATTACTGGCAACGTTAGCCAAAAAAAGCTGATTGCTGATGATATCAATTTTCCTTTATTGATACTGATACAATATTGCCAATGTATCGGTGTACCTCTACCCCTTTTCATGCCACAGTCGCGTAAAATTTATGGCCGTCACTTAGGTGGTAACAATTTCTGCTGCTATTCAGCAGCAGATGTCCGTTTGTTTTAAGGCCTGAGAGCATGGACATCCTGGAGCTGCCTAATTCTGTGCTCCCTAAGAATTCCTATGCAGGATCATGCCCCTCAAGCCTTGGGAGTGCTTGCCTGGCTTTCTCCACTTGAAAAAAGTCATCCTGGGGAAATCTTCTGTAGCATAGCTTTCTGAGTAGGGTCTATGGTCAACATCTGTTTCACCCAGTGAAGTGGATCAACTGTACTGGGACTGCTGATCTACTTAATTTGGTGATATCTATTTCTAGCCTCGGAAGGAAATTCTTACTACACCAAAGTGAACACAGGGCATGTCTACACAAGATGTTTACTGCGGTGTTGCCTGATTAGCTCTGCAGTAAATGTCTCCGTATCTACACACGATCCCTCTAGGTCCCCTGCCAGCTGGAGCTGCTCCAACCCAGCTCAATGTGCTGGGATCCCAGGCGCATGTCTAAACATGGTGCCCAGGAGCAACAAACTCTGGTGTGATATGCAGTCTTCCAGTTAGACTTTTTGGAACCATTACTCCCCACCATAGGTCAGTAGCCTGTAAAATATTAGATATTTTTTGCCACATTTTTTTATTTTGGTTAAAAAAAAAATATATATATATAGGCCATAGCTACTAGCCAATCCAAGATGTCCAGAATACAAGCAACATTTTGAAGCAACACCTGTAGCTACCAATAATTTCTTCTGCCCCAAATAATTGAGGAATACAGCTCTTTCCCCCAAGTTATTCTGTTATAAAATGTAACCATATAGAATATAATAACAAAAACTGTAACCTTTCTGGATCTTTTGCAGTATCCTGTAAATGGGCCTTTACTATCCATTAATTTCTATATCAAATGGTTTAAATTAAATGCAGATGATTTCACTGCCTATTATACTCTGTAGGACTTTTATCACAAGGGTAGGACTGTCCTGCAGGCCAGCCGTAGTCTACTGCATTTCCCAGTTTAAATAGTTCCTGTATATAAGTTTATAAAATCTTGTTTTAAAATGGAAATGTGAAGATACAGAAAACAGCTAGGGCTTTTGGAGATGACATCTAGTAATTGCTTGCTTGGACTGTTAGCACCTAACATCAACTGACTGTTGTGCACCACAGTTTACTTGCAGAATTAGCCTTTGAGGTCTAGAGACCATGAACCCGATTGATTTAAGGAAATTGGAAGTCTACTAGGAGAAAAAATGGTTTTCATTTAACGGATGTTTTTCATCCTTTCTTTTCATTGTATTGAACATATAAATTGACATATCCAGGAAAGCCCATTGTTTGGATTGAAAATAATGGAAAACTTGTGTTCACTTTTGCACCAGGAAACTTAGGGTAATTAAACCTTCCACATTCTTACACATGGTATGTGAAGTGATTTCTTTGAGCTGTCTTCCAAAGAATTGCCTTGCTAACCTGTCCCTATAATAGTTAGCTCTGCCCATGCTGTTATTGGCCAGACATAGTGAACAAGAGACTATACAGTTTGGTGCTTTTCATGGGGTGATAAGTTGGCAGATTGTCCAGAAATGGAACTGTCAGTTGTGCACTGCCTAGACATTTATTTCCAGATTTATGTGATTAAAGGGGTTGCTTTGTGCCTTTGAACAAATAGGCTCAGCATGTAGGATGAATGCAACAGGGCTGGCAACCTAAAATATTTCAGCAGGGCATAACAGTTCAAATGGAGTTTTCCAAAACTGATTGCACGTGCTCCTGAGCTAATGTTTTGAGTCCTTGAAATTGCATCACTCAACAGTAACCTCTGTGGCCAGAGGGGCCAATCATGGGCTAATGTGAGAGGCAAATATTTTTTTGAGTGATGTCTTTTTTTTTATTGGACCAACTACATGGTGATTGCATCTACATGAGATGCTGTACTGAAGAGTTGACTTAGTGCTGCAGTAAAGTGTCGTCATCTACAAATGCGTCCCTCTTAAACTGGAGTAAAGTAATTAACTCTGCCGTAGGATAGTAGTGCCCAACACAAGTACTATCCTATGTTGGAATTATTTACTGTGCCACAATGCATGTGTAGACAGTGCCTGGGGCTGGCTAAGGTATGAGGCATGCCTGCTGGCTAGCCCCGCACCATAGCAACCTTGTGCCCCAGCCAGCCGCTCTGCAGCATGTTGGGTTGGAGTGGAGCATCTCTGGCCTGGCAGACTGACCCTCTGGGTCCCCCACCAGCCAAGGCTGCACCACCCTGGTTTAACGTGCTGCTGTCCCAGGCACATGTGTAAATGCTGTGCCCCGGAACAGTGAACTCCGGCACAAACTGCTGTGGAGTTTATTGCAGCGCATTAACATCAAGTGTAGACATGTCTAGTTGGAATCAAATTAGATCATCTTTTGAATACAAGGCATTCTTCAGCCTTGCATTTTGAAACCTGGTCTGACTTGATCCCAACAGTGGTTGGTCCAATAAAAGAGATTACTCAAAAAATGTTCTTGCTTCTCACAGAAGTCCTGGACCATCATGGCTACAACATCACTCCAATACTACCATATTAATGAGATAACAAAGGCAATAATATCCAGTCATTCTCAGCCTTCATAGGTCCTCAGCAGGACAATGATATGGTGGGGCCTTAAGGAATAAGCACATCTTCTGAAAAGGAAAATAAGTACTTTGTCAAACAGCTTGGCTTATAAAGTGCCCTGGAGAAAATCTGATGAAGTACTATATGTGTGGGGATATGAAAAAACTAAATAGATCTGACACAATGTGTGGATAACACAACAGGTACGTAGAGTGTATATTGAACCAAATTGCTTTATTATTCCAGCTCAGGCTGTGAAATGACCTGTATAAAAAGATGAATTGTTTCCCAGAGAAGATTTAAATCCACTGTAGCAGCGTGGGTTGACCTCACCACTTCAAGCAACAGCTTTATGGGGAAATATAAACCCATGTTGTTCTAGTGATAGGAAAGACTTCATATTTGGCTTTCAATAGATGAAAACATGAGTTACTTGGTATAACCCAGGGGTCAGCAACCCCCGGCACGCGTGCCAAGCATGGCACGTGAGGCCATTTTGCTTGGCACACCACTGCCAGCCTCTCACAGATCTGGGTGAGCGAAGGTCCCCCCTGCCCTCCGGGAGTGCATGCTGCTGCCGGGAGCCGGCCCCACCACCTGCCCAAGCACGCAGCAGCCAGCAGCAGTGGGTGTGGGAGCTGGCTCCTGCTCCTGCTGCCTTCTGTTGGGAGCAGGGAGCTGTGGACCTGGGTCCCTGGCCCAATAGCCATAGTTGGAGGCAGGGGCTTTGGGTGGGGGGCAAGGGGCATGAGCAGGGATGGGAGGAAGGGGCTTTGGGTGGGAGCCAGAGGGCACAAGCAGGGCTGGGGGGCTATTGTGGGGGGACCTGCACAAAACGAATATACAAGATCAAAGGTAGTATCAGAAGTTTTATTGTCACCAGGTTTACAATTCTTAGAAAATCTGGTATTTACCATAAAAAGGAAACATTTATGTTTATTAACTATACTGATATGCAGTACTCGTTATACTGATATGCTGCCCTCGTTTTGTTTTTCTGGCATGCTGGCACTCTGGCACCTTCCAATGTAGACATTGTGTTTTTTTCAGCACTCCTGCCAAAAAACGTTGCTTACCCCTGGTATAACCTCTCCAACCCATTATATGTGGCTGGTTGTGCCTTATGTGATCGATTCTCAACCAGGGTGCCACCCTTTCAAGGGTGCTGTGCGGTGGGGTGTCACAGAATGTTAGCACTGCTAGGTGTGTAAACGTGATTCACAAGCTAAAGCCAGAGATTTCAAATAGGAATCTATAGTGACAAAATATCCTGACCTGTTGCTGTCTTTCTGAGTTCCTTGCAACAGAAGTATTGCTCTATTATTTTTTTGTAGTGAAAAATTTAGTGAAAACTAAAAGCTGGCATTTTCAGATGGGTGCCTTAAGTCTAATGAGGGGTGCTTTGAGTATAAAAATGTTGAGAATCTCAGTTGTATGTCCTCATAAGAGAGAAATGTAAATTTTAGATAATCTCAGTTTGACTTTTTTATCTACTGTAACAAAATGGAGAGTTCTTGTTTTGGGTAATCTTTAAAGTGGCTGGGTTTTGTTTCTTTGGATCTTAGATGGGGTTAGAGAATAGGCAAAGGAGAAGGGGTTTCCTTTATTTAGGTAAAATAAAAGTGGAAGCAGAAAAGTAGAAGCAAGCAAATTTTATTTATCCTGTTTCTGGTTTATACTATTTCTGCTAAATACTATCTCACTGAGAAAAATCAGCTTATTTTTTAGAGGTGACACCAAATTTTGCAGTTCTTCAAGACTGATTTGATGGGAATTTTGTTCAATGGAAGGCTTAAATAACAACTAAAAATTTGGCTACAAGTACAACTTATTTTTTTGCAACTCAGTAATATTTCCATAGTACACAGGATGGCATTGTTTAATTACAGAGGCAATAAAAAAATCACACGGGTTGTTTGAGATTCACATCAGCTTTTGTTGATATTAAATAGGTATGATGATGCTATCCAGTTATATGACAGAATTTTACAAGAAGATTCAACCAACACAGTAAGTTAAACAATTTCCTTGAAAATATAAAGTCAAATTGTTTCAATTTAAGCTGACGTCTTTCTTGTAGCACTGTAGTGAAATAGTTATCTGATTATGTTTGTGTCTTTTAACTTCTAGCATAATATTTTAACATTTATTTTTGGAATTAAGTTTCTTCTATGAAAATAGTGTTTACATTTAAAAAAAAATACTGAGTTGAGAGCTCGTTTCTGTAAGTGATGGCCCTTTACATTTATCTTATGGGGTTTGGATCAGATTTTTTAAGTATTAAATGTTGGAGGATGATTTAGTGATAAACTGCTTTAAAGACTGTATAGTTTACCATGCATCTCCTAGCCCATTTCGTAATCATATTTGAAAATCTACTTTGAGTTGCATAGTATTTATCTCTATCTGGAACTAGGCTTGCTCTTCAGTGAACCTGCAGTCTGCTGTATAGCTTGCCTACTTAAAAAATAACTGAGAGGAAATTTTAGGAACGTGATGTCTTCAGGCACATGCATTGCAACACTACTAAATGTGTAGTAGTACAGAAAAGAAAGTGCTATTGGCAGCCATATGTTCAGTCCCCTTCAGCTGCAGGGTGACAGAGTTGCTAGAATGGCATACCCTCCACCCAGAGGGTGATCAGGGGCTGCTCTATAAATCTGACCCGATTTCCTCTCTTTCCCCCCCTCCCCCTGAGGGACAGAATGCAGAGCACTGTGGGATTGTGGAAGGTAGAGACCTGGCCAAACATGATGTTTGTTTGAGCACTACAGAGGAGATGCTGTCTGAATCGGACTTCAGCAATGATTAACTTTTCCCACTTCTAGCATGCTGGCAGCAGTTTGTCTGTCAAAAGTGTAGCATAAGTTGGAAATTACCATAACGTAGTTTGCTAATGGCTTCTTAGTCTCTTGTGGACTCAGAGCAAGTTTCATAACATTCTTGAAGTATTTAGTGTGACACTTGACTGCTTCCAAATTCTGTTACAATCCAATAAAGAAAATCAGATTATATGCCTCTCTTTATTTCAGTAATGGCTTCTCAGCCTCTTGTGGACTCAGATTAAGTTTAGTAACATTCTTGAAGTATTTTTAGGTCCTAATTCTGCCCTCTGTTTTGTTTATCAGGCTGGCCATATATCAGTTGTGCTTGCCTGACTAATGAAAGCCTGATAAATGATGTGAGCCCTTATAAAACAATACTTTTTTTACATTTGTAAAATGGCAATTACTAGCTTCAAGCATCAGCAAAATCAGGGCTGTTCAATTTTGTAAGCTGTCAGGGACTGCATGCTGTGCAGCCCGCACTGGGGCAAGGCACAGGCCATGTGGGCTATACAATGCATGGATGTCCCCCTCTGCACCTCACAGCTCCCTTTTCCCCCACTGTAGCACTAGACTCCTGCTTGTATCTCCCCTTTTCCCTCATTGGGAAACTCTAGCTACAATAATGGAGGAAGCAGCTGCTGGCTGGGGAGAAGTGCAAGGGCTGCAACTGAACCCCTGGCAGGCTGCCAGTTGGACAGTCCTGTGCTAAATTAAACTACTCTTCCAGTCTTTTTTTAACATGAGCGCAATCTGCAAATATCTATGATTGTCTAAATTTATTTTTTTTTTACTTATTTTTTTTTCTACTGCTATGACAGCTTTGCAATATTTGTCCATCTCCCTGGTGTAAATAATGTGCCCTCTTTTTTGGGGGGAGGACAAGTGTCCCAGTACTGCTGCCATTGCATTGTCATAGATTGAGGGTGTGGTGTGCCTGGGTTTGGAAAGTTTCTCAGAAATTTTTACACAGCTGAATCAAGAGCTGAAGTGCTCCAAATAAGTAGGTTAAAGGAATGTTAAGGAATATCTCCAAAATTAAATTACTTTTTTTTTTGTTTGTTTGTTTGTTTTTCCAAGGGCTGCTTAAGTCAGATGTTTTGTAACCAGTGTTTTCCACTAACATATACTCTGTTGACATTTCATCCCTTTGCAGATAGCCTGGAATCTAGAACCTACATATTAGAAGAAATTATATGTCATGACCTTTTCCATCCCTGAGGAGTTTTTATATTGCTTAGTATATGTTGTTTTTATATTTGTATGATGGGAAGGCTGAGAGGTGATCTTGTGGCTGCCTACAAATTCATTAGGGGGGCGCACCAAGGAACTGAAGATGCTGTTCACCAGGGTGCCTCTTGGGGTAACAAGGAGCAGTGGTCACAAACTGACAGCAGATTTAGGCTAGACATCAGGAAAAACTTCTTCACCGTGAGGGTGGCCAAATCTTGGAATGGGCTTCCAAGGGAGGTGGTGCTCTCCCCTACCTTGGGGGTCTTTAAGAGAAGGCTGGATAGGCACCTTGCTGGG